TCAGAAACTTCAAGATGGTGAATTTATTGTCCAGGTACTGTTTCTACCTATTTGAATTTTGTGATGACAAATATATTGACCACTGCTTTGATTAAATTACTGTATATCCTGTCATGGGTAGGTAAAAGTAATTTCTCATTTTTCTTTTGCTGTAGCCAACTAGGGATTGTGTTGCGAAGACATTGAAACGACTTGAAGAGAAAATTCACGGACGAGTGAGTACCTTTGCTGCATCTAAAAATCTGAAGAGCCATGAAAATTCATAACTGTTTCAAGTGCCAATAGTGGCGAATCACAGGCAAAATCAAGAGCTTGAACTTAAGCTCACAAGTTATCTATAAACAGTATTTAGATATTATTGGAGGAAATGATCAAGAAGTCGTCCCTTGTTTATTGAGTGCTCTGATTGTTTTATATATACAAATTATATTTCCTGCCCATCACTTTATATACTGTGCCTGGTAGGTTTTGAGTCATTTGTTGTACATGATGCGTGTTGGAGAGAAAGTTGTTCAAAGACGAGTGGCCTTGGCCCTTGCTCATCTCTGTTCTCCAGACGATCAAAAGACAATCTTCATTGATAACACTGGTATATTATTTGACAAATTTCTCTATGAAGTTGCATTGCTGCTTTTCCATCACTGGCCTCCAGAAATAGATACCAACTACTTGCTTCATCTACGTTATGTTCTTGCAGGACTGGAGTTGATCTTGGAGATTCTGGAATCAACTAACTTGAAGTACCAAAGAGATAGCTCTTTGGCTTTATGCAAGGTGGCTAGTAAAGCCAGCTCACTTTCTCCTGTGGATGCAGCTCCTCCCTCCCCAACACCCCAGGTTCTGATTATGATCATTATTTTGGATGTGGCATCCATGTTTTTGTTTAGTCAGTTAGTCAATGAATAAATGTAATGTTTTTGCTTTAGGCTTTTTGCATTTCTTTTCAGCACTCGAACTCAAATATTGGGGAAGTTTTTAAACTGGACAGAGAAAACTGAAAGGAAATACTATCATGTTGCTCAACTAGAAATAATCACTTAATTATGTGTGTCATATATACTTGCTATTTGAAGTTTGAAGCAAGAAACAGTGAGTTGTTCTGAACATTTTGGAGACATGTTCGGTTAAAGCAAATCTATCTGTGTATGAATTAAGATTACTAGCAAAGTTGTGGGATCACAAGTTTTATCTTTTCATCCCAATGATTTTCCACAAAAAGCATGATGCAAATGCCACAGAATCATGTGATAAATTCTAAATATCCACATTTCATCAACTTGCTTGTTTGCGTGCATTCTAAAACACTGCTGCTTCTAAGCAAAACCTCAATAGAAATTGATCCATTTTCAGTTCAAAATCTTTCTCAAGGAAATTCTTTTCTCGTTAGCAATAATTTTTACGATGTCTTGTATTGCTTTCCTTAGCAATAATTTTTATGGCGTCTTGTGTTGCTTTCCTTATTTTTTCTTCAGCTTTGCCATTTTTTCATGCTGTATACACTTTCAAGGCTTGGTATCCATTGTTAGCGCTTGCCATAATTTCTGGAGCCTTCTGCTTGTCCTCCATCTTTGAATTATTTGTTGTTTTTGACAGAAGCATGGAATTGAATTGATTACAGCAAATAAACAAAATGGAATGTATATATTATACCTTAGGTAACACCTTGTGGAGGAATGAATGCTTATCTATCTTTACTTTTGATAACTATTAGTAGGCCCTCTTAATTGACGTGTGACTAAGATGTTAATGTATGTGGAATGCTGGAAGAAATGTCAGTTACCTACAATAGGAAATAAAGATTTGACCTATTGAAGTCATATGTTTTGAACTCTGCTCATATGGCTAATGTTATCTGCATGATCGTATTTGGCATCTTTTTGTTATGTTAATATGGCCAGATTATTATTTTATATTATTTGTAGCAAGTGACTGTTTTGCCCTTGTTGTAACAGGTGTATTTGGGCGAGAAATTTGTAAATAATCCTACATTGTCTGACGTGACATTTTTGGTTGAAGGTGAAAATCTGTTCTCTTGTTTGCACGTGGACTTTATGTGCATGCTCTTGTTGATCATTTCTTATCATATTCTCAACATTATTTATTTTATGTTTTTAGGCAAAACATTCTATGCACACAGAATTTGTTTACTTGCTTCGTCTGATGCGTTCCGGGCAATGTTTGATGGTGGTTATCGGGTGAGCATTGTTTTGGACTTAATACCTATATGGTTTCTTTTTCTAATATGTTGGTTGGGCGCTCACATTTGTGCTTCGTGTAGAAGGATATATCTTATACAATTACATAGTGAATATACAATTGTTATACTTACACTGTACATTTATGCTACAACCCCTTTCAGCAGCCTGCTAAGAATAATGTGTGTTATTCATGATCTACATTTCCTCCCCTAAAATTGTATCTGGTGAATGAATCTGTCACCTCAACTGGTATATTGGTTGCATGTACTTTGCAAGCTGTCCATCAACATTAAAATTTTATTAATATCTGAAATATGAAAATAAACTAAAAATTATTGATATACCACAAATAGAAATTTGACTATATTGGGAAGCTTTTAGATAACAGAATCCAAGTTGATTCACCTAAGAGGGAAGAAAAATGAAAACCATCTCCATAATTGATAATCAGTTGCACCTCCACAACTTCCAACATGGAAAATGTACTAAAGTTTATAAATATCACCTGCATAACTGCATTGACTTTGGTTCCTTCAAAGGCTCTTTTGGATCAAACATTTTTAACTTTTCCAAAAACTTGACTTCTATTTCGTCTCATCTGGAGCATTGAATTGTTAAGAGTCTGACCAAGTTTTGGTGTCTGCCACCCTCATCTGTCCTGATCATCACTTGACCTTTCAATTTTACGACTGTAGCTGTTGGCATGGTTGGTAGGCTAGCATTCAGAGAAGATACAGTTTTAAAAAGAAAGTGGAGTTTGCTCTGATCTGGGTGCCTGTGCTCCCAGATCTTTTTATGGCTTGGGATACCAACAAAAAAATTGAAAATTGTGTTAAAAACTGCCTTATCTGGTCCAATGGTTTCGACCTTTTTTTATTTATTTTCAGCTGATCTGTGATACCTGGAATGTATAAGGGTAAACTCGGTTGGAGAAAATATTGACCCTCAGTAAATATACAAGTTAAAGAAACTTGAAATTTAACAATTGTGGCACATTTAAAGGGCCAAGAATGTTACAGAGCTTGTCTGTGATCTTTTGAATTGCATAGACTTGATTTGTTACGTTCTTGTGCTTTGTTGGTCTATAAGTTCTCTAAAGTCTCATGGACTTTTTTGGCAGGAAAGAGAAGCAAAGAACATAGAAATTCCAAACATTAGATGGGATGTTTTTGAGTTGATGATGAGGTGAATAGATTTCGAAATTCCTTCCAACTCCGCGTCCGTAACTAAATTAAAAGCAATTCTTCTCATTAAAGATTCTAACTCGAAATTATTTTGTTCTTGCAGGTACATATACACAGGTTCTGTTGATGTCACTTTGGATATTGCACAGGATCTTCTGAGAGCTGCCGATCAGTATCTTTTGGAGGGGCTTAAGCGCCTGTGTGAATACGCTATTGCGCAGGTATTTCTCAAAAATAAAAATAAAAGACGTGTATTTTCTATTATAATTTATTTAATGTTCTGACTATTTCTTTGTATCTTCAAGGACATTTCGGTGGAGAATGTCTCTCTCATGTTTCAGTTATCAGAGGCATTCAATGCGTCATCATTGAAGCATTCTTGCATTCTATTCATCTTGGAAAACTTTGACAAACTCAGCATCATGCCATCGTATGTTCATCCATCTCTTTCCTTTACCTGCTTGCTTTCGTTCTTTTATTATTTTGAAATGTAGTATAATTTTTTCAATTGTATATGTGGAATGCAGGTACTGTCAGCTGATCCAACGTACTTCACGAGAGATGCGAAGCTACTTTGTAAAAGCACTGACGAGACCTGTCCATGCTGAGCTACAACAATAGACGGTACAGCTTCAGTTTTGATCCTGACTAATTGGTGACCGTAGCGTGTACAGAAGTTGATTAGTTTCTCTGGAGTAGTTGAGTAAATGGACAAGACTATCTTGTTATCTTGACCTGGAAGCACCTGTAATTTCCCATTTAATGCAAACTCCAGATTAACTTTTTAGTTTTTATCGCGGGCTACTTGCTGAAAATCGTTTTGAATTCATTGGCTAAGTTCATGAGTTGGAGATAAAGTAGATTCGAGCTTTGGACAGTGTTTCCCCATACAGGTGATTGTTCTCCTCGGCCAGGAGATATCACGCTTGGAGTTTGCATTAAGGCCTAGATTGTTTATGGATACTTTTGGGTGCTAGGACCCAAGGTTGAGAGTGAAACATTGTAGCCAGGGATCGCCAACAAGCCTTAGATATTCGTTGGATCCTTGAAGCAGCTATCAAACGACTATCAACTACGAAGATGTGCTAAGTTCACATTAGCATTGCACCTCAACAAATCCTTTTTACATGTCACAACATTCTTCTCAACTAGGAAATAAAACAGCTATTCACCAAAGAATAGAGTTGGGCAAGATCAATATTTAGCAACCTATATGAAGTTCAACATCTCCTCCTACATGATCAAACAATGGAACCCCAAGTTTTTAAACCTATACAGAAAAATGTATGCAAAGCATAACGAAATTGAAAAAGGAAAATCAAGAAAAAAATAGTACGAAGGAAAACAAACCAAAACAAAAAGAAAAATGGTTCCTAAACCAACTTACTCAAATACAGAAGAAAATCCTGCAGGCTGCAATCTTATAACAGTCATTTCTAATAAACCGATAAAGAGAGGCCCTATTAGTTAATGTACCCATCAGACGGCAGCCCTTTCAAGGGTTCCTTACACCACCTAGCTGGCCTTTTATTTTGTCGGTAATATCGCCAAAGCGTATCATCAGATTTGCCCAGCCCAAGTAGAATATCGTCTAGCAATTGTAAAAGCACAAGTGGAATCATCTTTTTTTTGCCAACTCTTTTTCATTCCACATGCCTGAGATGAGGCGTTCAATCTGAAGCACGTCTGTGGCATCCTTTGCCAACAGAGAACAATACTTCCTGAATGTCTGCAGCGTCACATGAAGTTGGAAATCGAGACCAAATAAAAACTTCATCTCCAACTTGTTCAACTCTGCCGTGCTTACGCCTCCCACTCTAGCATAATATGCATTATTGAAGAATCTGAAATGTATTTCAAGTCTTGTTAGAAATTTGTAAAAAGTGAAATTCATAAATATGATCGAGAGGCTACATGGAAACTTACGCATCATCAATAAATTTTGCTGCTACCATTACACTGGTGATAATAACTCGGTGAATGTTAAGGGATGTTAACAACATATTTGTCCGTTGAATGAATCTATCCACATATATGTGTGCAATAACAAAGCATGATGGGCTGCAGCGCGAGTACTTGAAAATTCGATCAATATATTGACGAATGCCCAAAGAAGGTGCTCTCGAACCGTGAAATATTGTGATAGCATCTTTTGTCTTTGTGGCCTCTAGTATCCTTTCATTTTTCTGAACAGATCTCTCAAGAAGTGTAGATAAAAGTGATAAAACTTGGGGGGTTCCTAAATTTCCAATCCCCGATTCTTTAAGACCCAATGATACATACTCTTCAGTGTGTACATTCTCATTATCGTGTGCCAAAGTTCCCATGATCTCAACGATGCTGCAAAATAATAATGTCTAGTCATATTCGATATTCAAACTTACTAATCCTCCGTCCAGGATAGAATCGAGAGGCAGAGAAAGAACAATTTTAGAATAGTCTGTACTATCAGTTTTCTCTGAACTATTAGATTCCCGGAAAGAAACTTCAATACAAGAAAATGAATAATAGAAACTAAGATATGCTTATCAATCTAAAAAGGCGCCAACAGATGTTTATCAATCTACAAAGAGATCCTCCGACTATCAATCTGAAAAGGAGCCAACAACAGTCATTATATGACGAGTGGAGAAAAAATAATCTCGTTTCACGATGAAACTACAGACAGATTGATAAATCCGAAGATGGACAGTTATAATTTCTGTGATACAAAACCTTTTTAAGTGAGAAAAGTGCTAGAAATTAATGCCATTTGAATTGAATAACAGATGTTTGCAAATTACTATTTCCATGATAAAAAATCTTAACAACGCTATACAACTTTAACATCAAGTGCGTGATTGAAATTTCATTCTATTACACCATGGAAAACATAGATACATGAACAGATGCAAGAATACACACCCACCATCAAAAGTTTATGGGAAAGACATGGCATTTTTCTCTGTTTCCTAATTAAAAAGTCTACTAAATGTGCATTCACTGATATTCGTTAAGGATAAAACTTGTCTTATAGTCATCCATCTCCATTATTTAATACTCAGAGCAAACTAAATCTTGTTATCAATAAATACTGGATAGGCTATATGCATATTTTTTCACCGTTTCAATCAATTCAGCACTACATCTTTTCTATAGGACCGACAAAATCCAATCTTTTTTACAACTACATCAGAGCATGACAACTTGGATCTTCTAACTGAGTCACCTCGTTCTCGTGACTACCTTAAATCCACACAAAAGACATGTCTCAACCATCCAAGTTAATGCTCCGATAATCAATTTAGTATAGTACAGAATAAGATATCATTGCATAAAATAAACTCACTCGAATTACTTTTTATCTTCGGTTTAAGTCCCCAGCTTCATTAACATGAACAAGAATTTCCAACTTTCTACATCAAGTCTCGTATTAGAGCCTATAATTCTTGTTGATCAATGCATTTCTAGTGAATTTCCTATTGCTTCCCCATCAAAAAATGAGCTCTGATTTCACTGTTCTTTTTGTTTGTTAGATCATTTAGGATTTCATGAATCTCGAGTTCCATATACGGTATAAAAATTAGCAAAAAATAACCCAAAAAAAAAAAAAATTTACATAGAAAAAATAATGCAAGTTCATAGACCCAGTCTAGCTCAATTTGCAGAAAAAAGCCAAGAAAATTAAAGCCACAGAAAAACCAATTTAAGAAAATAGAAGTTTTGGTGGATCCAATAGGATGCCCCCAAACCCTCCACCCAACCCTCCTCGAATAACAGATTGTAAATTCAATACAAAACATGCCTATGGTTTCAAAGAAACTCCTTTTATAATATATTATATCCTAAATTCATGAATAAGCTATACAAAATAAGTAAAAAGGAAGAACTTATTTCTTCTACAGAATATGAAGAAACCCATAAACATTCAGTAAATCAAAGCACAAAAAAAACAACACGCCACATTACAAAACATGAAAAAATGAATCTCACTCTTCATTCAATTGCATCGCAAGAAAAGAGAATTTCAAGAAAATCCCAGAAAGAAAATCAAAGAAAAAGCATTGAAAAGAAAAACTTACTATGAGTTCTTGAGAGATCTGGTTTCTCACTCCTCGAATCTGCTACATGTACCTCACATAATTGACGCTTTTCATTTTTTGAGGCATATAATCAAACACTACAAATACATTTCACTTTCTTTATACAAACATTTTCTCCCCCACCAAATTAAAAACAATAGTTATTGATTCTATCTCATGAAACGCTTTTTTTCAATGAACCAGTAAGAAATATGCTAACTTGGCCATCTTTCAGGTCACTTCACAAGGAAAATAAAAACCCAACTAACTTTTTTCTTTTTCTCTGTTCAGCTATACCTATGGTATTGTATAATAATAATTCTTGTTTGTTTATAGGGGTTATTTATGTCACAGGCACTTCTTCACATGGAAGCTTTTCTTCCTCTTACACGCAGGTTGTGTGTTTTGGAGGGTGGTCTAATTAAAAAGTAAGAAAAAAAAATTGATTTTATTTGTAAAATATTTTTTTGAAAAAATATATTATTAAAAATGAATTTTCAAAATAAATTTTGTCGTTTCTTTTTTTTCGTTTTTGTATATTATTGCCGTGGCAAGGGTTGGAAACTTGGACAAGAATTGGTCAGAAAATTATTTCTTAATTCAATTATTTTGGATCTTTACTATAATCAAGTAACGTAAATTTAAAATTTATCCAAATTAAAACTCAATTTTCTTAGGGTGTATTCAACTAAAATTTTTAGTAACTTTTTTGATTTAAAAATTTTAAGGGTATTGAATATAGACTTATTGAGATTTTCTAAAAGTATTGATTTATTCAACCGAGACTTTTATAGACTTTTAAAAAGTCTAATCTGTATCTTGGATTGTAGATACCTAATCCCATCCAAGCATGCGAAACCCTCGTGACAACCAGTGCAAGTGGCGAATTAACCTCCTCACAGGGGGACAATCCACCAATCCGAGGACGAAAACAAAGACCCTTAAGGTCCATTAGCGTTTTCACCTGACAGTTTTGCTATACTGACATTCTGGATTACATTTGACAATCAATTTTGTCATTGATTTCTCCAACACTTATTTAAAACAATGACCTCGATCATAATGGAATGTCATCCAAGAGGTACTCGTTGAATATACAAATTAATTAATTCTTTCATCGAATTCGATGGAGACTCATCAAGGGACACCTCGCATCCCGGTAGTCACCATAGATGGAATATCAAGGATCGCTGGATACAGGATAAGGAGGCCCATCTCGAAACAACGTGCTATCGTCTCACTCTTGTGATTTAGATAAAGAGAACTTGCCTTTTTGAAGGAGATCGAAGGCAAGCCGATCCTTGTTGATTTCAAAACCTCATTCATGGATAAGATTTCGAGGCAATTTGGACAATTTCTATCACTGGAGATTCTGCTTACATCACGCTTTCCGTTAATTATATTTGCAACGGATGTAGGCATTCAGAAATCAAATGGTTCGCGTCTAAAGGAATGTGCGATTTGTAATTACAGGAAGTGATCACATGTGAGTGAAATATATTATCAAAATTGGAATTACCAGGGATGCAATCTTTCCCTTCTGCGAATTATTTGTTAATACGACCTATTGATTGTACTTGTTGGGTTTTTGATACCCAATAAATCCGAGCGATGATGTTAAACCGGTTTTATGTTGGATTGGTATTCATAGGCCTCGGCCGATGATTGAAGTGGAATGTCGACACCACAATGAACGTACCATCCCGACACCCTAAGTGGGTCATTCGAAGATAAAAAGTCTAATCTGTATCTTGGAGTGTAGATACCTAATCCCATCCAAGCATGCGAAACCCTCACGACAACCAGTGCAAGTGGCGAATTAACCTCCTCACGTGGGGACAATCCACCAATCCTAGGACGAAAACAAAGACCCTTAAAGTCCATTAGTGTTTTCACCCGGAGTAATGTTATTCATCCCCACTGGGGATAGAAACACAGTCTACATGACGTCAATGTGCCATTAAATGATAGGTGAAATTAAATAAATAAGTTATTTAATTTCACATTTCATTTAACCTATCATTTAAAGCCACCTAGATTGTGTTCCATCCCCACTGAAGATGAATAACATTACTCTTTTACCCCACAGTTTTGCTGTACTGACATTCTGGATTACATTTGACAATCAATTTTGTCATTGATTTCTCCAACACTAATTTAAAACAATGACCTCGATCGTAATGGAATGTCATCCAAGAGGTACACATTCAATGTACAAATTAATTAATTCTTTCATCGACTTCGAAGGAGACGCATCAAGGGACACCTCGGATCCCAGTAGTCACCATAGATGGAATAGCAAGGATCGCTGGATGCAGGATAAGGAGGCCCGTCTCGAAACAACGTGCTATCGACTCACTCGTGATTTAGATAAAGATAATGAGGACTTGCCCTTTTTGAAGGAGATCGAAGGCAAGCTGATCCTTGTTAATATCAAAACCTCATTCATGGATAAGATTACGAGGCAATTTGGACAATTTCTATCACTGGAGATTCTGCTTACATCACGCTTTCCGTTAATTATATTTGCAACGGATGTAGGCATTCAGAAATCAAATGGTTTGCGTCTAAAGGAATGTGGGATTTGTAATTACAGAAGTGATCACATGTGAGTGAAATATATTATCAAAATTGGAATTACCAGGGATGCAATCTTTCCCTTGTGCGAATTATTTGTTAATACGACCTATTGATTGTATTGAAATATGACCCTTTTTCATCATGATCAGTATCTTACTGATTGTGAATTATCAACATCAATTTCATATCTGATGAAAGGTTTGATGAGTTTAAGGATATATTCAAGAATTCCCCTAGTTTTTGGACGGGAATGATCCCAAAGGAGAGGATTATGATGAAGAGGCTAAAGAAGTTGACAGCATTTTATATTTCTATCACGATATGCCGCCGCCATTTTTCTATTTTACACAAGTGACGACGCCCCAAAAAACATTGCTCATACATATTCATATATTTCCATAGCCAACCACCATTAGCAGACATTGAGAGAGAGAGAGAGAGAGAGAGAGAGCTTCATTTTTGTTGATTGAGTCTTGCAGCTGCAGCCATCGACGCCGCCACTCCGCCGGGATGGGTACACATGTCCTCCTTATTTCTAATCTCCGCGCCAATTACGCCCTCCGCGTCATCTCGTGTTACGGGTTTGCATTGGTAAGTTTTGTAGCCGCATCCTGCAAATCAAACTAGCCATCAACTGCATGTATAATTAATTATGTGGATATATAAATGAAAAATTCAGAAAAATTACAATCAAAATATCGCCAAGTTTGGTCTTGTCCTCGTCTCGCATTGTCCGGGCATTATATGCGGCGGCTGATTGGGCTTCAGCCGCGACACCACCAGGCACCGCATGACAAAGCCCAGTGGCACGAATCTCCGCCGCCTGTACGGCGGCAGGGTCACTTTCATCAACGGGCTTGTTTCCAGCCGAAAAAGCAGTCGCTTCGAGTGCTTCTCCAATAGTAATTACATCGGGGCCACCAATACCCCTGGCTCCAACATCTCCCGGTAGAACATATTGCCCCCATATAACCAATTAAGATTAAAAATAAATCTCCTTTTACATTGTTTTCTTGACATCAAGTTTGACATCATGTGTAAATTCAAATTGTATTTGACAGGAAAGTGTGTTGTTTTTAAAATTGTCCAATGTGTTGTTTTTAAAATTGTCCAATGTGATGTTGCCACGTAGTACAATGTCAAACTTGATGTCAAAATTAATGTACTTGTAGCATGATTGTAAGATTAATACGTATTCAGAGTTTGTAAATGGGATGGTTAAGGAAAAGAATCTTATACTTTTCCACCAACAGCTTCAGTGACAACACTATAGCCGCCAGCATCCGCCTCCGATACGGTGACGCACTCTTCTCTAACAATATTCGTCATGTCGTCGTGATGAACAACACCGTGCGTCTCGTTGACATCAGCCGCTGATTGCACAACGGCGGCAGGACCACCTTCCTGAGTCTTACCCAGTGCAATGTTTTCAGCGGCCATAAAGGCGATTGAATCCTGTGGAGCTACGGGTTTCGACGCTAGTTCACCTTGAACGTGGAAAACGTCTCCATATCTAACGGGTTTTGGCCTTTGCGGCTGTTCCTGGCTCATTCCTCAGAACAGAAAAAATGGGTTTTATCTTTCTTTTTCTGTTTTGGTCGAAATATTTGCGCGGACAACTATATGCATGAATCGGTGGCGGCCCGTGACACGCGGTGGTGGCGGAGAGATGACACCTGTTGAATTACTGCACGTGTGCTCCTTTTCCATTCTTCCACCGTATATGTATTGAGCACCGCTTCATATCAGTTCACCATCTGTCCTAGAAAGATGCATCATTTTTTCTATAAATTAAAGGATTATTTGACAAAACTTTTAATAAAAAATTTCGTGGAAATTGTAGGGTTATTTCACACTTTCACATCGTCTTTGGGATCAGACTCCATTGCAATATTACTTACAAATTTTTACATCACAAAAGATATAGACATTCACTTTCTTAAAGATAATATTTCCAAAGGCTCCTGTTTTTGTCTATTTCTTGTTATCTTTTAACCTCAGATGTACTGAAAGTCTGAAAG